AATAAGACAAAGACGTGCAGCCCGCAGAGTGGAGGAGAGGAATGAGAACGTCAGTACGCAGGAACCCGGGTGTGCGGGGAGCCTGGTTCTGCTCCTGATTCCACTGATGCACCCGGGGAGGCAGTGGGTGAGAGCTCAGGAGGCCGGGCCCTGTCTCCCGCCCGGAGGTCTGGGTTTGGATCCTGGCCCAGCCCCGGCCACGGCAGGCACCCGGGGGCGGAGCCAGCGCATGGGCACTCTGGGTCTGCCTGTCTAGCCTCAACGTTTAAAAACTTGCCCAGCATCCAGAAGAGTAGGAAAAGAGAAAAATAAACCAGGAATGAGTGGGACAAACAGGAAGTGAGTGGAAGGTAGCAGATTCAAACCCAAGCTCATCTAGAATTATGTTTAACGTAAATGGATTAAGATCTCAGTTGCAGGGCTGAAATGGGCAGAGTGATGAACGTGGTCAACAGGAAATCACTCCTAACACAGACACGGATCATTGTGGGTGTGGAGGGGTGGGGTTGAAATGCCGCCTCCCACAGGTGCACTGTTGCCTCCACTTCCTGCCCACGCACCTGCGAGGCAGCAGTGAGGGCCCAGGGTGCGGGGGCTCCTGCCACCCCCGTGGGAGACCTGGGACGCGCTTCTCAAATCCTGCCCCTGCCCCGCCTCGGTCACTGTGAACATCTGGGGAGCGAGCCGTGAACGCGAGCCTTCTCTCTGTCCATCCATCCGTCCGTCTGTCCCTCCATCCGTCTGTCCGTCTCAAGTAAATGAGAGTGTGTAAGACAGGATGGGAAAGGTTCTCACACAAGCACACAAAGCCCAACGCGTCGGCAGGGCTAAATGCACCGTGACGTGAAACCAGGGACACCACGGCGCTGCCCGGGGAGGAGGGCGAGCCACTGAGGGGCCTAAGGAGGGGAGTGTGCCCTGCACCACGGGACACGCAGAGAGCTGAGAAACACGAGGTCCACGGCCGAGGCGGACTTCCAAACACGCATCTCAGCGTTGCCAGACAAGGAGTGAGACACGGGAAGCCTGGGCCACGCCAGCGAGGAGCTCAGCCATGGGCGTTCAGAGACGACGCCACACGGGAACAGCGGGACCCGACGAGCCACGTGTCTCCCAAGCGTGAGATTAACCTGCACACCAGTGACGGGAAACACCCGAGCACACATGCTACACGGCTCGGGGAGGGAGCCACGGGGTGAGGAACGGCGTGAGCGCGTGAAAACCAGACACGACCCTCGAACACGTATGAGACCGAGCTCACCGAGACGGACGCCGGCTTGGAGTTTACAGCACACGAACAGGAAGGGCCAAATCAAGGACCTGAATGTCCACTGCGGGAGCCGAGAAAAACAGCGAACTAAGCCTGGGGAGGGCAGAGGGGATTGGGAGAGAAGACCCGAGAACAAACCAATGAGAGAAACAAACTGGGGGCTGGGAAAGGCAGCAATGGACTTGGTGACTCCCTGGGGGGCAGGCTCACGGGGGGGGGGTGCCTGGGGGGGACGGACGCCAATCAAAACCCTGGCAGAGGGGGCGGGGGAAGGAGATGCCAATCAAAACCCTGGACAAAGGGAGATGCCAAGCAAATCCCTGGACGAACGGTGCGGGGGGGGATGCCAATCACAACCCTGGACAGGCCAGCACCACGGCTCAACAGGCTAATCCTCCGCCTAGCGGCGCCGGCACACCGGGTTCTAGTCCCGGTCGGGGCGTCGGATTCTGTCCCAGTTGCCCCTCTTCCAGGCCAGCTCTCTGCTGTGGCCCGGGAGTGCAGTGGAGGATGGCCCAAGTCCATGGGCCCTGCACCCCATGGGAGACCAGGAGAAGTACCTGGCTCCTGCCATCGGATCAGCACAGTGCACCGGCCTCAACACGCCGGCCACGGTGGCCATTGGAGGGTGAACGAACGGCAAAGGAAGACCTTTCTCTCTGTCTCTCTCTGTCACTGTCCACTCTGCCTGTCAAAAAAAAAAAAAAAAAAACAAAACCACAAACCCTGGACAAAGGGAGATGCCAATCAAGTCACTGGACAAAGAGGGTAGGGGGAGATGCCAATCACAACCCTGGGGGAGGGGGCGGGGCCTGAAGACCCTCCAGGCGCAGACAGGAACAGCAGGGCGTCTTTCCAAGTATCAAGCAATCGATCAGTCCCCAGAGGAGCTCAGACATGAACACGACTTCCTCGAGGAGCCGCCACCGGGACGTACTTTCTATCGAAAACGCTGAATTGGTACTTCAAGGCCTTCGCACGCAGGCGCTCCCGGAACAGCCAGGTTCCCTGGCGAAGTTCATCAAACGCTTAGGCAGAAACAGTGTCGACCACACACAGACGGTTCTGGACCACGGAGGGAGGAGCAGGGCCCCCGTCCCAGCACGCTTTGTCCGGCGTCACCAGGACAGACACCAGGTGACATCACACCAGGTGACATCGCGAGAGAGCTGTGGGCCAATATCCCTCAGTAATACAGAAATACCCAAAAACGGAATCTGAAACAGGAAGGTAACACACCGTAGCCAAGTGGAGTTCACGCTGCAAACGCAGCTCAGCAATGAAAACCCACCAGCGCGATTCAGTGTTGATCAGGCACAGACAACCCGGCTGCCGAAACTCAGGGCCGATTTCAGTTAAAGTTGTCAGCGAACCGGAAACGGAGCCGTCGGCCTGCGGGGGTGGGGGCAGCGGGGAGCCCCCGGGGGCTCAGCTGGGGGTGGGACGCTGCCTCCGCTTCCCCCAAGACCAAGAACCAGCATCCACCTCCGCTCCGGCGCCGGTCCTCTGCTGAACTGGACGCCTGGCCCAGCGGGACGCGTGAACAGAGCGGAAAGACGTCCAAGGGGCCGGCGTTTGAGTGAGGAGGCGGCGCACAAAGGACCTCCTGACCGGTTCAGCCCGCAGTCTTCCTACGAGCGCAAGGCTGAAACCTTAAAAAACCATCTGTAGCAGCACTGAAATTATGTGCTACTCAGAGATGAAATCAGCAACAGTGCACATTCCAGAACTTTCCACCCGCATTTATAAACACATTTTCGAGGGACGTTAAAGGAAACGCGAGTAAGGGGTTTAGGACACGCGTGAACCGGAAGAGCCGACGCTCGTAAGGTATTCACTCTCCCCACCCACAGCAGTGAAGACGCAGCGCTACTGGACGGACGGACACGCAGACGCGGACCAGAGGTCGAGGGTAGATGACGACCCACACCCGAGAGGTCAAAGCTGCCACACAAAGTCCCGGGAGGGACCGGCTCTCCCGCAGCGGAGCAGCCAGCAACACCGAGTGGACAGCCTGACCCCGGCGTCTCCCTCCCCAGACCCACAAGCCCCAGGCACAGCGCTCGAGTCGCCACGGGACTTCCAGTCCACGGCGCCCGGAGGGGCAGGGGTGGGACAGTGAGCAAGCCACGGCCGGCGAGGCTGGGAGGGCAAAGGCACCGGGAGAAAAGCCGAGGAAACAGCACGGGGCTCGTTTTCCGACAGCGCGAAGGGGCTGGCGCTGGGGCAGCAGGCGGGGCCCCTGCTTCCCCGCTGCCTCCGGCGTCCAGTCCCGGCCGCTCCACTTCCCATCCAGCTCCCTGCTCGCGGCCTGGGAAGGCAGTGGGCGATGGCCCAAGCGCTGGGGCCCCTGCACCTGCCTGGGAGACCCGGATGGAGCCCAGGCTCCTCGCTTTGGCCTGGCCCAGTCTCAGCCATTGCCGCCATCTGGGGAATGAGGCAGCCCTGACTGTTGTGGCCACTGGGGGAGTGAACCAGCAGATGGAAGACCTCTCTCTCTCTCTCTCTCTCTCTCTCTCTCTCTCTCTCCCTCCCTCTCCCTCTCTGCCTCTGCCTTTCAAATAAACAAATATATCAGAAAAAAATCAGTAATGCAAAAAATCCCATTTACAATTAAGTCAAGGGCTTGGTAAGCTTTTTTTTTACACTAGAATATGTTAAACCCATATTTTATTCTAACATCTCTACCAAAACAACAAACATTCCAGCCCCTGGAGTCCGTGGGTAAACTGAGGCACAGACACAGGCAGGCTCCGCAGCTCCAGGATTCTATTCCACGCCCCCATGTGGACAGACGGAAAGCGGAAATTCACAACGGAAAACCAACTTTGGCTTCCGTGCCACAGCCAGAGACGAACACCCAGTGCATCCCGGAGGCAAACACAGCAGCTGACATCCTGACGACTTCCGGGCGATGCGGACTTCTTAGGGTCCAAAACACAGAACCCCAGGGATAAACCAGAATCAGGATCAGAACCACGGTTCCTGAATGACAGCGTCGGAGAACAGGTTCCCAGCATGCGTGTGACCAGGCGTGTGAGCCCCCCGCACGGCTCACGGACACGCAGCAAGGTAGCTCAGCCACACTCCATCGTGGGAGGACCCGGATGAACGGTCAGCACTGACCGACGCCCATCGCCAGGGAAATACCAAGGAAACACATCGCTGCCCCCCGGCCAGAGTGACCAAGACGGACAGCGCGGTGGGAATGGGGGCCAGAGACTGGCATGGAGACCCCGCACACGTGCCGGGTGGGTGGAGTGCTTACACGGAGTTCCACACACACTCGTAGCCATGCCCCCCACAATGCTGCGTGCAGGCACCTGTCGGGCGGATGCGGCCCCACAACTCCCTGCTGGGGTGCACGTGGCCTCCCAGGTGTGCAGCTCCTCCCAAGCACCACCGCCTACGCACCCCGCACACACCTGGCTCACATGTGCCACAGAAGGGGTGACACCCCCGTAACCTCTCTCCTGGGGATCCCGCCCAGACACTGAGTTCACGGTGGGCCTGAAGGTGGGAGCATTTTACTATGCATAAGTCACATGTGAGTGTGATTAAATACGCAACCCCCCGACCGTGTGTGACGTGCCCAGGGCATAGCGGGGTGGGACAGGCTGCCTCCAGCAACCCGGGGAAGGTGGGGGCCCAGCACCTGCGAGGAGGCAGGAACACCGGGTGTGGGGGCGCCCAGGGCCCCGACACACGCTCAGCCCCAGCAGGCCCTTACCGGAAGCTTGCTTGACGGTCACGGGCCTCACCTTGTACGGGGTGCTGCAAGACAGAAGACAGGGCACCCAGGGGCGCCGGGTCAGGTGCACCCTGCACACCACCGCTGCCTCCCCCGTAACGCTCCAGTGAGGCCCTGCGTCAGAGTGGGCACCAATGCCTGCCCCTCTCTGGCTCTGTCCAAGCCCCCAGGGAGGAAACTCGGTCCCATCTCGATGATGTCAGCCTTGAGACCCGGGGTGGATGGGAGGCCGCATGGGCCTCACGCAGGGCACACGTGAGGTTACACGCACGTGCACCCGGCAGACAGGCGGGGAGGGCCGAGTGGGCACGGGCAGGGAAGAGGCAGGGCCCACAGGGCCCTCGGGCCAGTTCCTGGCTGTTCCAGCCTGCAGTTTGGTAAAATAGAAACCTGGACGCAGATGCTGCACCTGCGGGGGCGGGCGAGGGCGGCCGCAGCCTGGGGGCCACCTGCAGAGGTGCACCCCTTCCTCTGGGCTCAGAAGAGACCCAGGTACCGGGGAAGCCTCAGGCCCTGGCACTCACACGTCCCCTCGGGGTTTCACTGCCCATGCCCTGCCCCCGCGGCCCCCACACAGAACAGCCCCGCGCCTCTCCATGCGGGGGGGACCCTGCTGCTCTGGTCTGCAAGTCTGAGACCCGCCGGCCCCCACCCCAAATGCACAGGGTGAATGAAGGCACCTGTTGGGCAGATGGGTCCCCACATCGGGGCCCTGTGTGGCAGGTTGGGGGTGGAGCCTTTGGGAGGTGACTGGATGGGGTCTTGAGAGCCGGGTCCCAGAACGGGGTTAGTGCCTTTGAAGGGGGAGGGGACCAGCGCTCTCCTTCCTGCTGGGCCGGGCAAAGCTGGAGGCAGCTGTCCGCCCACACGAGGGCCCTCCCCCAGCCCACACAAGGTGAGTGGCAAACGCTCCCCCGGGGAGTGGGAGTTTGTGGTGGGAGCCGGGCGGGGACATGTGCACCTGCACTGCCCCAGGCATTCCCCCGGGACACACAGCGGGGACACCGCCCAGCCGGCTCTGCTGGGCAGAGGGACGGCGCAGCCTCAGCCACACCGGACACGGGGATGCCGACGGGGCTCCAGATGCTGGGGCAGCAGCCTCGGCTCCCAGCTCCGGTGGCCGTGCCTCTCGGGGCCGTTCCACTGCCGCGGCGTCTGGGGGACCCTGGCTCCGGCCTCCTGAGCTGAGCCACACAAGGAGCAGAAATCTCGCCTCTCTGGGGTCTCAGCAAAACCCGGAGTTTCGCTGCTTCTGCTGATTCCTGCATTCTCGCTGCCTGGGCCCCGAGGCCTCTCTCAGGGGGTGGAGACGGCACAGCAGGTGCCAGGCTGGGCATGGCCACTGCCGAAACCGCCTGGACTGGGTCTCCCGGAGGAGCCGTGACCCCCTCAGAGGTCCTGAAGCAGCAGTGACAGAAAGGGAGGGGCAGGGTGGTCAAGGAGCGTGCGTGCCAGGGTCCAGAACATTCTGCCACCAAAGAGGATGCCGCGCCCATGGCTCCGGCCCCGCAGGTGTGGCCGGTCAGGAAGTGCCTGCCTGCACCTGCTGGCCACTAGGAGCCAGGCGCTGCTCGGCCACCAGTCACCCCGTGCGACCAGCCCCAGCTCCACGGCCCCCTCTGACCGGCACACACTGGCCCATTCCGTCCCATCGTCCTCCACACGGGGCACAAAGCAGGGAGCGCCCTGAGCGGGGAGCCCGGCGCTGGGTTTAGCCGCGCCCGCAGGGAGGTGCCAGATGCCAGGACTGGGGTTTGAGGTGAGCAGGGAGGAAGCAGAAGGTCTCCCTGGGAGACAGGGCCGCTGAGGACACCACACGACGGCTGGAGGTGCTCGGACCAGAGCCCCTGCGGCCGGGAGGCGGTGTCGAGAAAAGCCCAACGCAGGTGCTGCAGACGGCCCTGTCCAGGCCCTTGGGGGCCACGGCTCCACCAGCCACGTGGCGCACCCAGCGCACCCAGCACACGGGGCCGTCCCAGGTCCATGGCAGGGGCGAGGTGGAGCCTCTGTGCCAAACCTCCGGGAAGCGGAGGCGGGGCTGTGGGCGGGGCTGTGGGCGGGGCTGTCCTCCTGGGTCCAGGGCTCCCTTGTGTTTCCCAGGCTTTTCCTCTGAGAGCTGGATTAGGTCCCAGGCAAGGCCTGGACATCTGCATGGGGGTTCTCATCCACACGGAGCTGAGAGGGGCGTGGCCGTGGCACTCGTGGTGTGTGAGTGGCAGGTGCCTGTCAGCACACGCAGGCGGCGCCTGGTTCCCAGGCCATCTCTTCTGGAGCTGCAGGACCCTCCCTGGACATGAGGGTGGTGCTGCCACACAAGGTGGGCCTCGAGCAGCCCCCCACCCAGCTCCCGATGTCCCTCGCCCTAGCAGAGGGTGCCCTGTGGAAGCGGGGACCATGGCGGGATGCCGGCTGCAGCCAGAGCCGGGCAGCTGGAGGGCAGGCGGGGCCTGCAGAGCAGTGGGGCAAGGCTGTGGAGGGGACTGAGACTCAGGGGCAGGGCGGACCTGGGGAGCAGGAGGCAAGGCTGCAGGGAGAGGGCAGAGGGCAGAGGGCAGAGGGCAGAGAAGAGACCCCTAGGGGGCCCCAGGCGCCCCTGAGCTTTCGTCCCATCTGTCCACACCCACGCCGCACTCGGGGCCACGTCCATGCCTGCAGCACCCGTCTGTGTCTGTGTCACCCACCCAGGACACCCCAGCTGTTTCCGCACCCCAGCCTATCCCACGCTGTCTGTCCCTGGCTCCCACTCCCTCCCACCCCGTCTCTCTGTCTCAGGACCCTTGGGCTGGGCGGGCTTTGTCTTGCTAAGGGGCCGGCGAGGTGGGGGGCCAAGGTGAGCCGCCCCCGGGCCTGCCCGGCTTGTCCTCTGCAGACAGAGTCCCTGCGCCGAAGCCACAGCAGCACCGCCGTGTGGTTGGCGAGCAGCGCCCCCCCCCCATCAGGCGGGGGGGGGGGCGCACCACGAGGCCAGGCCACAGGGTGGCTCCTGGGACATAAGCCTCGGTGGTGGGGGTTCCAGCCCACCCTGTCAGGGCAGCTACGGGCACGCGAGGGCCACCTGGTGCCAGCTTTCTCCCGGGGCTCAGGCTGTCGGATGTCCCCAGAGCAGAGGGCAGGCCAGCGAGAAGCAGGGGCAGCAGGCAGCCCATGGCCCACGGCTCGCCTCGCCCAGCCACACCTGCGGGGTGGACACCTCCGAGGGGCCGCCAACCTGCCAGGCCCTGCTCGGCGGCCTTCCTCCGGCCACAGGGCGGCCTCGCCACCCGACGCATCCCCAGGAGGGTGCACAGGGGGCTGTCCCTGCCTCCTGGGCCTTCCCTGCCCCGCGCCTCCCCGCTTCTGTGTGCAGAACCTTCCGGCACACTTCACTGTGGGACACTGGGGCCGGCCTCAGGGGTGTGAGCACTCCAGGCCCCCACCCCCCGCCCCGGGGCTCTGGCCGGGGAGTCTCCTGGGGCCTGGCTCTACCGCCTGTCACTCAGCCTCCCCACCTGTGCAATGTCTCGTCAGGGGCCCTGGACCCCACGCAGAGTGGGGGGGGGCACGTAAAGACCGGCCACAGACACCCTCCCAGGGCCGGTGGGGCAGGCCCACCCGGGCCCCACGCAGAGCGAGGCGGGGCGCCAGCGCTTACCGCTCGGAGTTGGCAGGCATGGTGGGGTCGATGGAGACCATGGCGTCGTCCGTGGTCAGGAGGGAGATGGTGGTGTTCCTGAAAGACAGCCACTACGTCAGCGTCCCCCCGGGTGTCCCCAGGAAGCCGCCTGTGCTCTCAGCGCCCGGAGATGCCCAACACTGAGCCGGAGCAAGCGGGCACAGGGAGCACCTCCCTCGGGGCAGGGCCTCCAGGGCCCCCACAGACAGCCCTGCCCCAGCCTGTCACCTGCGGGGCCCTCAGGAGCCGAGCTGCCCGGCCTCCACACCTGTGCGGGGGGGCTCAGCCGGAGCCGGAGCGTGGTTCTGAGCGCGGCGGGAGGGGTGCTGCCAGGCGCACCCCCCGGGGGCTGGGGGCCCTGCCGCCCCTGCACCCAGGCCTGCGTCCCCCCCATCCCCCCGGCCCCGAGCTCGGCTCACCTGCCTGTGAGCAGCTCCCCGCCCGACCCTGCCTCCTGCCTTCCCCACCCTGACCCTAACTCTCACGAAAGGCCGGGCCCACCCGGTCCTGGGCGCCCTTTACATTCAGAGTTAGAAGCTGATACGGCCCAGTGCCCTTCGTCCAAAACGCTCGGGATCAGAGCATCCGGGGTTTTTCTCCCGGACTTTGGAGTATTTGCTGATACACATCCACAGGTGTCAGGGAGGGACCCGAGTCTAAACATGAAACTCAGTTATGTTTCAAAAACACCATCTATTTATTACTTGTTTCGCTTTGAACTGCAGAGAGAGAGAGAGAGAGAGAGAGAGAGAGATCGATCCTCCATTGCTGGTTCATTCACCAAATGCCTGCAACAGCTGGAGCCGGGCCAGGCTGCAGCCAGGAGCTCTGAACTGGCGCTGGGTCTCCTCGTGGGAGGCAGGGACGGAAGCGCCCGAGCCGTCACGTGCCGGCGTGTGCACCCGCAGGAAGCCGGAACCAGAGGCGGAGCTGGACTCGGCCCCAGGTCCCCGGTGCTCTGAGGTGTGGCATCCACACGATGTCTGCACGGCTGTGCCGAAGCCGGCCCTCACCTGTGGCTGTCAGCTGGCAGCTAAGGCTGCCACTCGCTTCAGTGCCCTGCGTGCTGACTGCACCGCGCTACCCGCGGTCAGGCGGGGATTCCCCACTTGCAGGGTCAGCCCAGCACTCAGAAAGCTTCAGTTTGGATTTTTGGGTGAGAGATGCTCTGGGGACCGGATCCCAGCACAGCCACCCTCTCTTCTCCAAGGGGAGCCGGCCAGCGAAAGGCAAGAGCCCCGCGACCTTCAGAGGTGACCCTGCTGAACCCCACCCTCCCCTACCCCCTGCAGTGGGCGGGGCCTGGGCCAGCTTCCTCTGGCGTTTGCTTTATTGACTTGGAAGAGCTCCGGTGCAGAGGGTGAGCCCCCAGGCCCTCCTAGACCCCCTCTCGTACACAGCTTTCCCAGGGATGCCCGGGCGTGGGGCCGGCGGGGGCCACTCACCGAGGCAGGCCGGTGGCGATGCAGAACAGGTCCATGATGTCACTGGAGTTGCAGTACCTGCTGAAAACCACCTGCAACACAGAGGAGCCGCACGTGGTGAGGCGGCGTGGGGGAGGGGCCGGCCGCCCGGCGCATCGGGCACTGGGTGCGGCACACCCGTCTTGTCTGTTTCTGTGGCTCCGACTGCGTCCCCTGTGGGTGGCCTGTCACTCGTAACGTGTGAGGCAGGACTGACAGCCTGGGCATCGTGTACACATCACAGCCCCTCTGCAGTGGCCTCCTGGGACCGTGGTATGAGAAAGACAGGTTCAAGTTCATTAACTCCGCACAGACTGCCTCACGGCGTCGGCATCTGGGGACCGCGGGACTGAGACAATCGGGGAGGGACCAGAGAGACCACAAAGCAGCCGTCAGTCCTCGGAGTCCATGGGAAGCCACACACTCGGCCGAGGCACCGAGCACACGACAGCCTGTGGCTGGCGTCAGCGCCTTCGGCCCCGGGGGTCCCGGCTGCACATCTGGGCTCCAGAATCCCCCAGGGAGGGGGTTCCAAGCACAGCAGCCGCCCGCCCCTGCCCCAAACAGGGCCCCACTGCCCAGCGATCTGGAAGCACGGGACAGAAACGAGCCATGAGGTGCCGTGAGGAAACCTCCGGCTGCGTCTCGTGTCCAGGCTGGGACAGGCATCCCCTCTCTGCGCGACGTGTGCACACACGTGTTCCCGCATGTTCTGCACATGGCGGCCGGTGAGCTGCGGCAGTGTCACAGGGCCCGTAACCAAGCAACCCTAATGCTGCCACACTGTGATGGCAAAGCACTCACGGCGCTGGCAATGTCATCAAGCCACCATTAGAGTCATTCTCAGTACTGTCCCTAACCTTGAGCTGTGCCTAAGTTACAGGTGAACTTTCCCACAGAATGCACCTGCAGGGCTGAGACAGTCACACGGTCGGCATAGGTTTGTGACACCCCCTGCTCCAGGCGCCCACGGGGCATCCTGGGACGTGTCCTGCTCAGGTAAGGTTCCACTGGACTGCACCGTGCATGGGATGGCACATGACAGAGCCGTGCCCGTGCCTTGTGGCTGCAGTGCCCTTTTAAATTTTTTAAAAAGATTTATTTTATTTATTTGAGAGGCAGAGTTACAGACAGAGGGAGAGACACAGAGAGAGAGGTCTTCCATCCACTGGTTCACTCCCCAGATGGCCACGACAGCCGGAGCTGGGCTGATCCAAAGCCAGGAGCTTCCTCCAGGTCTCCCACACGGGTGCAGGGCCCCAAGGACTTGGGGCATCTTCTGCTCTCTCAGGCCATAGCAGAGAGCTGGATGGGAAGTGGAGCAGCCAGGGCTTGAACTGGCGCCCACATGGGATGCCGGCACTGCAGGTGGTGGCTTTACCCACTACGCCACAGTGCCGGCCCCGCAGTGCTCTTTGCTGATGAGCGCGGGCCCTGGGCTCTGGGCGGGGAGCCAGCCTGAGGGGCAGCTATATTCCAGTGCCCAGCACACTGGTTTTCCACAGCTTCCTCCTTTATTTAGAAACAGTGAAACAAAGGAAACAGACTTTTTCCTCCACACGCCGAGGCTTTCTGTGACTAATACCATTTCCCGTGTGCTGTGGTGGGGGCGGAGAGAGACAAACCACGCGCCTGTGTGTGCTGGTCTGTCGCTCCCCTTGGCTCCTGCAGCACGGCTGCCGGGCAGGTGCGCCGGTGCCACCCGTCGTCTGGTCCCTGACCTCTGTGGCATCCACGCCCCCTCACAGCCCTGGTGACGCCCGACCCAGTGCTGCAGCCTCCCCTGTCCCCACCACACGCTCCGACGGTGCCACTTTCTCCGCAGAGCCTGGTTGGCTCTTCTGGGTTCAGTCTGGCCCAGCCTGGCCGTGCGGCCATCAGGGGAGTGAACCAGCAGGCGGAAGACCTCTTTCTCTTTCTTTCTGTCTCTCTCTCTCCCTCTCTGTAACTTTCAAGTACATAAATCTTTAAAAACAACAGTTTCGGGCTGGTGCTATGGCATAGTGGGTGAAGCCGCTGCCTGCAGTGCCAGCATCCCATATGGGTGCCGGTTCAAGTCCCGGCTGCTCTATCTCTGATCCAGCTCTCTGCTGTGGCCTGGGAAAGCAGTAGAAGATGCCCAAGTCCTTGAGCCCTTGCACCCACGTGGGAGACCTGCAAGAAGCTCCTGGCTCCTGGCTTCGGATCAGCCCAGCTCTGGCCATTGTGGCCATTTGCAGAGTGAACCAGTGGATGGAAGACCTCTCTCTCTCTCTCTCTCTCTCTCTCTCTCTCCTGCCTCTGCCTCTCTGTAACTCTGCCTTTCAAATAAATAAATAAATCTTCAACAGCAAGAACAACAAGGTTTCTGATTCTGCAAGGAGGCTCTTTGTCTTTCTTCTTAACTCTCGTCTTTGTAAACTGAAATGCCGCGTTTTTAAACGATGCCCGTTTCCCCTGTGGGCTCTCCCTGCCTCCACACTCACTCCTGCGCGAAATCGTGACTTCTCGAAACCCCGGAGTCACCTGCCAAGGTACCTTGTCACTGGGGAGTGCTGGGGAGGGCGCCTGCTGCCAGGCTCGGCCTGAGAGCCGGTCGCGGGAGATATGCCCACCGCTCAGGGCCCGATGTTTGCCGAGTCCTCCGGGCCGGCCAGCCTTGTCGCCAGGGCCCTGGCCTCCCAGGCAGGAAGACAGATGGGTTTATGCAGGCCCAGAGCCGGGGCTGCCCGGGGGTCTTGGAGCGCAGAGCCCACCGCCTTTGGGAGGACTGATGGCCGGCATAGGTCCAGGACTCGGTTCCCCCGGCCACTGCTTCCTGCACGCCCTCCCCAGGCCCCTCGTCCACCCCTGACACGGGGTCACCTTACACCTGGGAGCCAGGACGCGCCTCTGCGGTGTGAATCCACCTTGGGTGGGGGGAGCAGGTGTGGGCGGGGCCGAGGCAGATGGGGCGGGGCATGCGGTGGTGCCCAGAGCCCACCCGTGACTGGGGGAGAGGGGGCGGCGGCTGCGGCCAGCGGGAGGGCACAGGCCTCTCCGTCCACGCGCTGACTCATGCTGCAAACCCTTTATCCAGAAACAAAGGAGGCGAGCGAACGCAGATTCAATTGAGATTTAGACAAGAGCCGCGGAGGCAGCAAGGCTGAGGGAACACAGGCGTGCTACGGCCACCCGGCTCCAGGGGCTTGGGCGCAGACCCCGCCTCTCCACGCGGCCGAGACGCTGAGCCCAGGCCTGAGGGGGCGGCAGCGCTGTTGGCTGCTCCGCGGGAAACGCGGGGGCCCCCAGGGGGACTTCCTTGTCTGGGAGCCCCCGTGCTGCCCGTGTGAGACCAGGCACCTGCAGTCCTGGGACATCGTGCAGGAGGCTGAGGCGCCCAAGGACGCACCAGTGCCCGGGACGAGCCCAGCTGGACCGCAGGCTGACCGCGACCCCCGCGAGGCCCACGTGTTCAGTTCCTCCACCGTGTGTTCAGAGTAGCGCCTTGTGGATACCGGGCTATGTTCTAGACAAGGCCACGGGTCGGGGGTCGAGGTCCTGAGCTTAACCAGTCACTGCTTTTGTCCCTGGTTTCTGTTCCTGGCCGTGGCCTCAGTTCACCACTCTGCAAATGGGTTGTCGGCCACAACTGCCTCTGCCCCGCCCACATCTACCTCAGTCCCGCCCACCCATCTGCCTCAGCCCCGCCCACATCTGCCTCAGCTCCGCCACATCTGCCTTGGCTCCCACCCACATCCACTTCAGTCCCATCCATCCGCCTCGGCCCCGCCCACCTGCATCGGCCCCGCCCACTTGCATCGGCCCGCCCACCTGCCTCGACCCCGCCCACGTCTGACCACCTAGCTCTGTGGCCTCAGGACAGCAGGGAGGGACTCAGACTCTTTAGGAGCGGGGCTGACTCAGCACAAAATTCACTTCTATGACGTCTCAAAGGCCAGAGATCGCACGGTTCCCGCTGGCCCCTAAAGTCCGGTGACCTGGACGCGGCCTCCAGGGCGCTCCGAGTAGCCACCTAGTGCAGTGTCTGGCTGGACGCCCGGCCTCGTCTGAGAGGGACTGCGACGCCCTGGACCTTCCGACGGCGGCCCGGAGGGGCCTGCACTCAGAGCGAGCGGCATCTGTCAATCAAAGGACAGGAGAGCCCAGCGTCCCTGCCACCCCGGCTCCGCGCACCGCGGCCACTGTCGCACAGCAGCAGCGAGGGCTCTGCAGGGTCGCAGCCTCCTGCCCCGGCAGTCACGCGGCCGGGCTGGGACCCCCTGGGGCTCCCCTTCCCCGTGGGGATTCAGGAGTGAGACTCGGGGGGGCCGCAGTGACCAGCCTGCGCCTGCTATGACCGGGGAGCTGGTGCCATGCGTGTGCCCAGGCTGCCGGCGGCCCCAGCCCCGCCCACGACGACGGCCCGGTCACACTCCCTCCCGCGAACTGCGAACTTCAGCGAGAGACGCGGGTCCTGGCCGTCAGCAGTGACCATGCCCATCCCCCAGGAAGTGACTGCACAGAGTGGGGGGAGGGGCTGCCGTGGGGACAGCCGGCCGCCCTGGCTTCCTGGGACTGGCAGCGCCTGACCACGGCTGCCCTCCTGGCCACGGCTTTCCTCGGCTCAGCAGGACAGACAGACTGTCCGCCTCTTGCAGCCACAGCGAGGAACCGGGGCCGGCGGCCAGCACCGCACAGAGCAGAGAGGCTTCCCACGCGCGGCTGCCCAGCCCGCGGCCTCTTGCAAGACCTCACTCCAGCGCTGGGCGCCGCGGCTCTGCCACAGGGAGCAGTCACCGCCCAGTATCAGACCCCACGCTGTGCCCAGCAGTGGGCTGGGCTCTCCAGGTCCGGGGAAGGAGGTGTGGCCGTGGCCGGGCTTGGCACTTCCTGTAAGCCCACGGCACAGGATATGAGGGCCCCAAGTTCCCCGGTGCTCCCAGGCCTCCGCCCGGCACGTGGCTGTGTCACTCCCACGCAAAGTGTGCGGCGGGGCTGGGAGAGACCCCAGGAGGAACAGGCAGCGGAGACGTCCTGGGGGCGACACGTGTCCTCAGTGGAAACCTGGGGCGGCCCCTCCCGCGGAGGCGGGGCTGTGGGGCCTCCAGGAAGGTTCCCCCTCCTTCCTGGAGGGCGGGGCCTCACTGCTGGATTTCAGGCTCCCCTTGGTGTCCGCGTCCCCTCAGCTGCCACCTGCCCCTCTCCTGACCCCCAAGGTCGCCGAAGCTCCGGGCTTCCTGGCTGGACCGTCTGCATTTCCTGGGATCCGAGAGGCCCAGCGGGGAGCTGCAGGAGCCCGTGTTCTGGGCTTAGGGCGGTCTGGGGCAGTGGCACACCACAAGGGGCCGTATTCCTACAATGCCAGGATGCTGTGGCCGGGGCCGGCTCTGACCCCGGCACTAGGAAGGGAAGGGGCTGGAGCACACCACACCCCAGAGCCCCGGCCCCCTAGGCCCGTCTGTGCGTCCTGGTCCACCTGTGTTCATGCCCACGGTCCATCCTGCCCGCCGCCCAGGCTGCTCCTGGACGCGGTGGCCGAGTGTCGCCATGCTGGCTGGACAGGGGGCTGAGCTCCGCTCTGTCCCGTGCACCTCTGACTTTTCCAGCATGTATGTAAAGCTGCACGCCCCTTCCAGACACAGCTCACACGCGTGTTTGCAACCTGGAGAACAAGGAAGCTTCAGAAAAGCTGGTCTTTCATACCCATCATCTGCTCTCTGCTCTCCGCCGTTCCCTTTTCCAGGCAGGTGACCAAGGGGCCACAGCAGGAGGACTGCCCAGGGCTGGGCCTCCTCGCTGCCCGGGGCACAGCACGAGCTGGGCTCCCGCAGAGGGCAGTTTGCAGTGGGCAACCAGGCCACGGAGCAGCCAGGATGGACACAGGGAGCAGAACTCGGCACAGGCCTGATTCGGGCTCTGGTGTGACGGTGCCCACTCAGGTCTCTGCCCAGCTGCCCTTTCGTGTCGGCTTCTGTTGAGTCCAAGCCTGGAAGCCCAGGGCTGGGCAGGAGGCGACGCCCTCGGCGGAGCAGGAGGGAGCCGGCAGGAGAGCTGCTGCCAGGGGGCAGAGTGTGGCAGCCCCCCGCCCCTCCAGGTCTGGGTTGAGCGCCAGTCCCTGGACAGGGAGAGGAGACCCCCAGGGCGCTGCTCCACTGCTGTCCAAGGCCCTGCAGCTGCTGGGAAAATCTCTCGCTGGGGCA